ATTTTACCCTTAAAAGGTATAAAAAATAGGCCCAAATAAAAAATGACACCTTTTGAAATAAAAAAAAGTATCCCAAAATTGGATACCCAATATTGGGAACCTATTTTTGTAAACAAAGATTGCAGACGTAAGCTCTTTTGTCACTACCAGCATAGTCTTCATGTGACCACCTGAAACAAATGGAACACTGTATCCAGTTTTCTCCGTTTTGGTCCTCTGAATAACGTCCAGTGCAGAAAATATACTCTGCATCACTTTCTTGATCGAGATTCATATCTGACTCGTCTTCATAAGGAACATCTTTTGATGAGTCTGAGGATTCAACTTCGTCTTCCACTTTCTTTAGTTTTTTATTTTTGAAAACCTTCTTTTTAGTTTGGTTTGAATTTTTGAATTCCTATTTTTGGATATCCAATTTTAAGACACCTTGCCTATCCAAAATTGAGCAACCTTCCTGTTCAATGTTTGGTGAGTAAAATAAAAAAATCTTTGACAGGAATGTTCAATTCAGATGCTGGTTTTCATTTTAACAATATTCTAGTATATGCATGCCAAATTTCACTTAAATACTTTTAATTTTTACCTTTTTATAACGGATTTTAATAGGAAAAACGAAAAACTCTGATTCACAAATAAACATGTGATTTTATGGTACCACCTAGTGCTGCACAACTGAACTATACCGTTTACACAGAATTATTTTGTGTTGGAAAACTATAGTTTTGTCCACTTAATTACAGAGAACTGTCAGTAGGTTTCGAGATAATCCAGTATCCAAAATTAGGCAACTGTCCAATATTAGGCGACTTTCCTTACCAAAAATTTAAAATTGGACCAATTTTTCTAATTTGCAGACATCGTTTATCTAAAAACAAAATAGTAGGTCCATAGTTTATTGACTCGAGTTAGTCTGAATATGAAGTTTCGTTACCTGGAGATATAAAGGAGAAGTAAACAAAGTAATATCTTGTGTTTGTAATTACGACTTGGCAATTGAATCACTTTTCCAAAGTGCTTGGGGCTTTGACCTTCAAGGAAAAGTGCTTCAAGCCTTTTGTCCTCCACAAGCCGCTTTCAAAAGTGCTTTGTGTGTTTTGTGATTGTAAAACTGCTTTCAAGCTCTTTCAGGACTTCCAAGCACTGTGCTTGTCTAAATTACAATTTTATTCAAGCACTTTAATCACACATGAACATTGTGTGGTACGAAAAATTACCTCTCAGCATTTCTTTTTTAAGAACCGGGTATCGCATGGTGCATAGCATTCAGATTCAGTATGCTTTTTTTTTTAGTTTTTGGGCAGTCTACGTAGAAACTATAGTGACTTTTCATATATCCTTAAGAACATCGGACGTTTCTAAACCAAGTTGTCGTGCATACGGACAAACAGCAATGACAAAATTATAAACGATCCCAAGGATCGTTAATACGGACTCAGGGCTTCGAGCAAAAGTGCTTCAAGCCCTTTTCCTAAAAGTGCTTTGTGCTTGGAAAAGTGTTCAAGTCCTTTCAAGAGTTCAAGCCCTCAAATTGTGTACAAGCCTTGTCCTAAAGTGCTTTGTGCTTGAAGTTCAAAGCCCTTTTAGAAGTAATTTGTAATTTCAAGTCTTTCTGATGACCGGTAGTAGTTTGTGCTTGAGTATCGAAGCACATTGACTAATGGCTTTGTGCTTAGAGTTTCAAACCCTTTCAGCAAGGGCTTTGCCCAGCTCTGCAGTGTCCAGTCGCCTTTGGAAGTACGATTTCCCATGTAAACAAAAATTCCATAGGTGACTCGATTGTCACTCATTTTTTATGGCTATGTACATCTCCTAGTTTTTCTATATACAGGGTGAGGTCATATTTTAAATAAACTAGGTGACGTTAAAATCATTGGTTGCTAAGAATAAAGGAAGCTTATCTGCTCAGAACGAACTACCGTTGCGAAGTTTTTCAAGCTTTTCTCTTATTTTCTAACCCTGAGCTAGTTTATACCGTTAATGCGGCCGGTGTGAGATAAAAGCAGCGCCAACTTAATCCACCGTTATACTCTAACTTCATTAATTTTTGATTCCGGATCCAGTTTTATTTTGATCTTTAAGGGTTGCAACATAAATAAATAAAATATATATATTTTAGAAAAAAAGTACACAAGATTAAAGTCATTAATATTTTGCATAAACGTATTTTTAAGGTTAATTACAACCAGACCTGGGCAGAATACTTTCAAAAAGTATTTGAATACTAAATAGTAAATACTTTACACAAATCAAAGGTATTTGAATACTAAATACTTTTACGTCCAACACAAGGGAATACTAGATACAGATACATTGAAAAGTATTCAAATACTTAAAAAAATAAGTATTCAAATACTTTAGAATGTATTCGAATACTTTCAAAAGTATTCGAATACTTAAAAAGTATTCTAATACTATCAAAGGTATTCGAATACTATAAAAAGTATTCGAATACTTTGAAAAGTATTTCATTATCTTACTTTGAAAAGTATTCGAATACAGTAAAAAGTATTTAAATACTTGTCACTCAAATACATTAAAAATTTAAAATAGTATACTAGATAAAAGGCTTAATACTACTTAAAAAATCAAGTTATACTTTGTATGGGGTTAGCTTTTTTTATATTTCTATTGTTATATACAAATTTAAGGGGAGTAAAAGCATATTATTATTATTATTTAAATTATTATATAGGAGGTACCTACCAGGACCTTTCTTATACCAGTTATATCCTTAAGAATACGTGTACCAGTTTTCAAAGCGATCGTACGTCGTGCACATGATACGTACGCCTTTCTGAAATGAATTCTAGTGATTTTGGAACAGATCCATTTTTGACCATCCGTTTGTCCATGTGCATTATAACTTGTTTAGAAACGTGCGAGCGCTTTGAAAATTGGCACACATAGTTTTAAGGATATAAGAAAGGTCCCTATTGTTTTTAAGTTACGTAGACTATCGAGTTCGGTATTCAGATGTATCGGATTTTTATATTTGATTTTGTGACAATGGAAACTTTCCCTAAACATTTCTAAATTGTTCTCAAATATTTGAATAACTTAAAAGTACTGCCTTTTTTTGAGGCCGGAAAAAAATTGTCTGAGATCGAGATCGATCGAGAGTCCATAATTTCAAACAGTTTCAAGATTGGGCCACTAGATCAAAAGTTACAGCCCTTTGAATTTTTTTTCGAAATTTGTTTTTTGTCCATAACTTTTTATTGAGAGGTCTAATCGAAAACGTACGAATTGTTTTGGATTCTACGCCCCAAAATTAATAAGAAAAAGTGTTCCCGAGAAATTTTGGTGCAGTCGATTTTTGGTAAAAAAGGAAGGTTATACACTGCCTTTTTTTGAGGCCCGCAAAAAAAATTGTCTCAGATCGACCCGGAAAAAAAATTTTCTTATAGAATGTGGCCTGTAGAATCCATAATTTGAAACAGTTCCAAGATTGGGCTACTAGTTCAAAAGTTACAGCCCTTTGAATTTTTTTTCGAAATTGGTTTCTAGTCCATAACTTTTGATTGATTAGTCTGACCGAAGAAGTTTTGGATTTACGCACCAAAATTAATAAGAAAAAGTGTTTTCCCGAGAAATTTTAGTGTAGTCGATTTTTGGTAAAAAAAGGGAGGTTATACACTGCGTTTTTTTGAGGCTCGCAAAAAAAATTGTCTCAGATCGACCCGGAAAAAAATGTTCTTATAGAATGTGGCCTGTAGAATCCATAATTTCAAACAGTTCCAAGATTGGGCTACTAGTTCAAAAGTTACAGCCTTTGAATTTTCTTTCGAAATTGGTTTCTAGTCTATAACTTTTGATTGAGAAGTCTGATCGAAAAAGTACGAATTGTTTTGGATTCTACGCACCAAATTAATAAGAAAAAGTGTTTTCCCGAGAAATTTTGGTGTAGTCGATTTTTGGTAAAAAAGGAAGGTTATACACTGCTTTTTTTTGAGCCCCGAAAAAAAAATTGTCTCAGATCGACCCGGAAAAAAATTTTTCTTATAGAATGTGGCCTGTAGAATCCATAATTTCAAACAGTTCCAAGATTGGGCTACTAGTTCAAAAGTTACAGCCCTTTGAATTTTCTTTCGAAATTGGTTTCTAGTCTATAACTTTTGATTGAGAAGTCTGATCGAAAAAGTACGAATTGTTTTGGATTTTACGCACCAAAATTAATAAGAAAAAGTGTTTTCCCGAGAAATTTTGGTGTAGTCGAATTTTGGTAAAAAAGGAAGGTTATACCTTCCTTACTTTATTCAACCTTAATTATACCTATCCATATTTTAGTTGACAGGTGCTATTTAATAATTCTACTCCCTTTTTGTAGGTATACACATTTATTACAAAAAAATTAAGCTTAAACAAAATTCATTTTATGAAGCGCTGCCCCTGTTACTTCCGAGGGTTAATAAATCTTATGGGGCGAATCCTACGGGGGCGGAATTGGGGACGAGGTCTCTTGGGGCGAATATTCCTCTCTAAAGTATCTATTCGTACTTTTTGATGAAGAGTTCTTCAAAAAGATACCAATATTTTTCCACGAGAACACTTCTGTTTTATGATGATGTTATTTAAATTATTTATTAGAAAAATAGCCAGTGAGGCAAATAAAATAACAAACTTATTAGTCTAGAGGCATTTCGTTTATTTATTTAAATACTAAACGAAATTGGGCCAACATAGAGTAAATCTTTAGTTTAAGACTTTTACAAGCAACAAGGTTACAAGGGCAAGGGTTGGGCAGAAGTGAAAATTTTAGTTTAAATTTGAAATTGTAGCATGCAGAAGTAGGTACCCACCCACTTGTTCGATCGAGTTTTAGGGCAGATTTCAGTCTAAATATACATACCTATCGTTATAGGTAAGTACATAAAAGCATACAATTGTTGAATGGATACAAAATTCAAGGATATATACATATAAATTGGAAGTGTCCTTAGTGATAATTTACACGTTTCCATTATCAGCGGACTGGCTCAAAAGAAACAAGAATAACCTTCCATTGTTATAAAAATATAATTCATTCGTTTCAAATAAACCAAAATGTATAAATAAATAATTGATTAGCAAAACCGTAAAGGAACATTATACTACAAATAAAGATGACAATAATGTTATTGTTATTAATAATTTGTACATTCGTAGAATATAAAAAATGCGATTAAATTTAGTACTAAAGTTAACTTAGTGTTCCGGGTGGAATTACATTTGTCCCTGTGGAGGATCTCGCATTTTTTCATTTTTCCTTTCTCCTGAAAATTGGTAGCTATCGCGTTTTGCTGTTGGCATAATCTGTTATTGTCGCCGGTTGCTAAAACTGGTACAAAAACTTTTAAGAAGAAAATTGGTTAGGTATGTCATGAATATACTCACACACTTTTTGCTCTTGTACACATTCGAGAAGTACCCTCAAAGTCCCATTTCGGTAAGGATTATGCAATGTTTTGCAGTCGACTAGTTGAATTTCAGTATCAAAACCGCGCGTTATCGAGTCGCACCTGTAGCAATCCAGCGCTATCGGGAAAAACAATTTTCCTAGGAAACTGCGGAAAAATTAATTCTCACCTTGGCCGACCCTGCACGACAACGAAATTACGACGACTAATAACGGCCACATACCGTCAAATGAAAGATGGCATTTGGTTGTCACTATCTCTAAATGTACATTTTTGAGGATACCTGCGTTTTCCGCTTGTGTATAAAAATGATCACTTATTATTTCTCATTGTGTAATTTTTTTCGAGTAATCGCACATGACTGATTCGTCATACGGCATGTAAATATCACGTAAAAAATTATTAGTCAGCCCGTTGGAAGGGAAATATTTACTAGCTGAGATATCTAATCCTATATTCGTTAGCACTTTTATCTTTGAGACATTATTCAGCTTTAATCAGGGCGGTTGGTAATTGGTTCGTCTAGACTTAGACTATTTCAAAGATATGCACACTCAAATTGCGAGTAGATTTAGGGTTTAGTCATTGATGAGTGGTGACGTAGGGCTGTAGGATTCCCTTTTTTACCTTAAACAAATATAGGAATGTTTTATTTCAGACGGAAAGTATCTGCACTAAATCTGTCAGACATTGCAATAATAATCCATTGAGTAGGTACAGTTTCCAACGTTCATATATGGAATTCGACCTTCACTTTAGGTATATTTCATCATTATATTTGTAGTTTGTACCCCGAATTTGACTTTTGGATTAGCACAGATTTGCTTATCTATTCATTTATTAACATTATGTAAAAGCAGTACTTATTTTTAGATCCCTAGAGAGGCGTGGAGATAAAAATTAACTACGCCATTTAGAAGATACGGTCTCTAATCCTGTTGGGTACAAAATCTGAAACATGTTGGCCAATTTTGAAGCAAAAATTAACAACCAATTGCATTTCTACAGCCGACTGTACAATACACTGTCACTATACTGAAGGGAAATCAACAATATAAACATATAACACTTGTTCTTTCACACGAGACAGATGCAGTTCATATTAAGGGTTACAAAAAAAAGGTTCATATGCACGAAAAAATGGCAAAATATGTAAACAGTTTGATATACAAGGTGCCCATTTTGGATGGAATATAGCATATATCTCGGTAAATATCGACTTTATAAAAAAATTGTAATAACAGCATTCAATTTTTTTTATTTCAGGTCATTCTACGCACCAAAATTAATAAGAAAAAGTGTTTTCCCGAGAAATTTTGGTGCAGTCGATTTTTGGTAAAAAATGGAAGGTTATACACTGCCTTCTTTTGAGGCCCGAAAAAAAATTGTCTCAGATCGACCTGGAAAAAAAATTTTCTTATAGAATGTGGCCTGTAGAATCCATAATTTCAAACAGTTCCAAGATTGGTTCAAAGTTACAGCCCCTTGAATTTTCTTTCGAAATTGGTCTATAACTTTTGGTTGAGAAGTCTGATCGAAAAAGTACGAATTGTTTTGGATTCTACGCAACAAAATTAATAAGAAAAAGTGTTTTCCTGAGAAATTTTGGTGCAGTCGATTTTTCGTAAAAAAGGAAGGTTATACACTGCCTTTTTTTGAGCCCCAAAAAAAAATTGTCTCAGATCGACCCGGAAAAAAATTTCTTATAGAATGTGGCCTGTAGAATCCATAATTTCAAACAGTTCCAAGATTGGGCTACTAGTTCAAAAGTTACAGCCCTTTGAATTTTTTTTCGAAATTGGTTTCTAGTCTATAACTTTTGATTGAGAAGTCTGATCGAAAAAGTACGAATTGTTTTGGATTCTACTCACCAAAATTAATAAGAAAAAGTGTTTTCCCGAGAAATTTTGGTGCAGTCGATTTTTGGTAAAAAAGGAAGGTTATACACTGCCTTTTTTTGAAGCCCGAAGAAGAAATTGTCTCAGATCGACCCGGAAAAAAAATTTTCTTATAGAATGTGGCCTGTAGAATCCATAATTTCAAACAGTTCCAAGATTGGGCTACTAGTTCAAAAGTTACAGCCCTTTGAATTTTTTTTCGAAATTGGTTTCTAGTCTATAACTTTTGATTGAGAAGTCTGATCGAAAAAGTACGAATTGTTTTGGATTCTACGCACCAAAATTAATAAGAAAAAGTGTTTTCCCGAGAAATTTTGGTGCAGTCGATTTTTGGTAAAAAAGGAAGGTTATATACTGCCTTTTTTTGAGCCCCGAAAAAAAAATTGTCTCAGATCGACCCGGAAAAAAAATGTTCTTTTAGAATGTGGCCTGTAGAATCCATAATTTCAAACAGTTCCAAGATTGGGCTACTAGTTCAAAAGTTACAGCCCTTTGAATTTTTTTTCGAAATTGGTGACTGGTCTATAACTTTTGATTGAGAAGTCTGATCGAAAAAGTACGAATTGTTTTGGATTCTATCAGTAAACAAATGGGTAACGAATAACACTTTAATTTTTTTAAATAGCAATCTACTCTTTCATTAGGCTTATTTGATTTTTTTCTCTTTTCGATGTCGTATTATACTAGACTTAAAATGTAGAAACTTGTTATAATGTTAATTTCACCATTATCATCAATCTATAGCTTTCAGAGATCTCTTCTATTTGTCTTGACAGTAGAATGTAGGTCATTAATGTGACAGAATCTTGTTTATTTAAATAAGTTGGTGCATCGAAAAATAAAAATGGTTCATTTGAGACTCAATTTGACCAGAAACTCATACAAATTTTAATTATGGTTGGTTATGGAGATCGCAAACCAACACAATTTATTAGAAGTACGTGAAATTTTTAATGAGTTTTATCCAAATCGAGAATCAATTACCCAGTCAGTTGTCAGCAAAACTTTGAAACGATTTAGGGACGGTGTAGTGTTAAAGGTCTGTGGTCTGTCGAAGACTTGGTCCGAAGGGATCTGCGACAAATGAAGATAAAAAGCTCGATGTTTTACTAGAAATCGAAGATTCGTCAGTTATTATTAAACCATGCCGTAAGTAAAGGCTCAATACACAAAATCCACAACAATCCAAATTTTCTCAATAATATTGTTTTTTCTTACGAGGCTACGATGGAATAATGTAAATAGACATAATTGTCGATATTGGGCCGCTGAAAATCCGTATAGGTGGGAATTTGTGGATCACATAATTGGAGCTTTCTTAATTCGTGGTACTCTAACTGGTGACCGTTATTTGCAATTTTATTATTGCAACAGAAAATTATTCCAGCTTGTCAAGCAAATGTTGATGATCTTTGGTTTCAACAAGATGGGGCACCGCCTCACTATCATTTATAGCTGTACGCCAATATTCAGATGTGGTATTTGCGGCCCGTTGGATAGCCAGAAGGGGGTCTGTGGAGTGGCCTCCCCGATCTCTGGATCTTACACCTTACACCAAAATTTGAATGCTGTCTTGTTATGGAAAATAAAATGTTAAACAACTTGTATATACAATTTTTAGCGCATTTTTAAGAATTAAAAAAAATGTGCTATTGTTTGCGTTTGGTCCGTTCGTCTGTCCGTGCGTCCGGACTCACTTCTGCTGTTTTGAACTACTTTTAGGGAAATGGTCTTAGAGTTCTGGAATTTTTTGCAATATATAGCCAATATCTTGAACGTGCGGGGGGATGAACACACGTTCTACCCTTCATGGTACTCTAATGAAAGGTCTCACCAAAATGAAAGGATTCGTTGTTTACCAACATCTCGTTATTGAAAACTTTACGAACCAATAATTAGACACTCTCAGCCATCGGGTCTTTTAAGAAATAGTATCAAAAATCATGCTAATTAATTATGCTCGATGTAAAGTAGCAACAACATCGCAACGCTTATAATATCACTTTTGCTAGTTTGCAATTGGTGTACTAAAACATAACGCCCTGAACACCTTCAATTTTGGGAAAAAGTTTAAACAAAACCATTATTTATTCACAAGTTTCGGGGGAGAAACATCAAAACACACTAATTGGATTAACAAAAACTAAACCTTGTGCATTTCCAACTATGATTTTGGAAAAAAACCCGTACATACTACATGTACTTTCTAATTTTTTTTAGAAAACAATGAAAACGACACATGGCCTTATTTGGGACAAAGTCCCTGTCATAGCCCACACAAATACACAAAATAAATTAATAAAGACAACAAAATCCACAAAACATTGTGTACCTACCTACCAATAAAAATCAGGTCACGAATGTAAAGATTCTAGGAACGTCATATTTTTCCCAAAAGCATCAACGTTCATCGTTCCATCTGGTTGTTGAACGTCACAAGGGCCATAAACTACCTATAACTTGTTCATGTATCTTTCTGTTTTCGTCCTGGTAAAAAACAAACCACACCCTTTTTACCAAAGACGCGTTCTGATCGAAAAAGTACGAACTGTTTTGGATTCTACGCACGAAAATTAATAAGAAAAAGTGTTTTCCCGAGAAATTTTGGTGCAGTCGATTTTTGGTAAAAAAGGAAGGTTATACACTGCCTTTTTTTGAGGCCCGCAAAAAAAATTGTCTCAGATCGACCCGGAAAAAAATTTTTCTTATAGAATGTGGCCTGTAGAATCCATAATTTCAAACAGTTCCAAGATTGGGCTACTAGTTCAAAAGTTACAGCCCTTTGAATTTTCTTTCGAAATTGGTTTCTAGTCTATAACTTTTGATTGAGAAGTCTGATCGAAAAGGTACGAATTGTTTTGGATTTTACGCACCAAAATTAATAAGAAAAAGTGTTTTCCCGAGAAATTTTGGTGCAGTCGATTTTTGGTAAAAACGGAAGGTTATACACTGCCTTTTTTGAGGCCGGAAAAAAAATTGTCTCAGATCGACCCGGAAAAAATGTTCTTATAGAATGTGGCCTGTAGAATCCATAATTTCAAACAGTTCCAAGATTTTGCTACTAGTTCAAAAGTTACAGCCCTTTGAATTTTCTTTCGATATTGTTTTCTAGTCTATAACTTTTGATTGAGAAGTCTGATCGAAAAAGTACGAATTGTTTTGGATTCTACCTACCAAAATTAATAAAAAAAGTGTTTTCCCGAGAAATTTTGGAGTAGTCGATTTTTGGTAAAAAAAGGAAGGTTAAGTATTCAAATACTATGCGAAGTATTCGAATACTTTACGAAGTATCCAAATACTTTGCGAAGTATTCGAATACTAAATCTTTGTGAAAGTATTTAAGTTACAAATACAAATACTGCTTCCATAAAAGTATTTAATTACAAAGTATTTGAATACTTTAAAGGATTTGAATACCAAAAAGTATTTACAAAATCGAATACTGCCCAGC